AGTCAATTAATTAAGGATATAGCTGGAAAATGAAGCAATGATGAAAATAATCTTTAGATGTAGCTCAACATAATCTGAACCTGCTGATTTTTTTTTTTTACTTGTTTGGAAAAGTAAGATTTTAAGGACTCAATAATTCACCAGAAGCCTGGTTGTCATTTTCTTTTTGATTCTATAAGCAGGAGATGTTTTACAGTGTAAACATCAGGAGGTAAAGTGAGTTCAGCTCACTGGTTTCAGGCAGGACAACAATGAGAGGTAATAAAAGGTCAGCAGCAGCAGAGCAGACGACTAAACAATGTAAAGTAGACCACAGTCTTTACTGAGTCATCTGAGGGTGATTTCCTGTTCTGGTGTTTACACACACACACTGATGCTGAGCGCCTTACTCACCTACAACTGGCCAATCAGAGGAGGGCTCACTGAGGAATGGAATAACACCTGGCCCCGTCATTGGTCGACACTAGGAACCGACGCATAATCATTTTCTGTTGGACTAAATACATTTCATAAGAAATGCCAGTGTCTCTTGTCACTGCACGTCTGATGCAAACTAACCAAAATGTCGCAATCTGGGAAAAAAAACTGCAAAACACACAAACATGTTTAAGAAGCGGAAAATAACGACTTCTGCCAAGGACGATGAAAACAATCACACACTGAAATCACAACACACACACACACACACAATATGGGAACAAATGTGTGTAAATGTGTCGCTGAAAGTCTCTGCCACTGACCTCTGCATCTCCGACCTCCGACCTCTGAGGACGAGCAGTCTCTTCCGGTCCTAAATCACTACAACATGGAGGAAACTTTTAAGAGGGTTTCCGTCACTCAGTCCTCGCTTGTTGTCTCTGCCAAGTTATGAATAATTTAATTTTAGACTTTGAGGTTAAGAGAGGTTTTTATTTATTTTTCTTAAATCGAGTGGAGATGCTTATTTTGGTGTTTTAATATGGGAGCTAACGGGAGGTTTGGGCTAAAAACAACCACATGTTTCCAATAAAAAACAAGCTAACACACTTTGGACAAGGACTGTTTGGGAGAATTAACTCTTAAATGCATTAAAAAGAGATCTGCCTAAAGTTTCTAGATGCTCCATCAGCTCTAACAGCTGCAGAGTAAGCACTGTGCACTGATCAAGCATCCAAAAATAACTCCAAAAAAAGCTCTGCAAATTTAAAGTTTGGTTTTTTTTTTGTCGCCAGATTAACAAAGTGGCTCAGCACATGGTGCAGAAAGCCTGAGCCAACTCTGCAGCAGACAGCAGACGGTCAGTAGTGAGAGCATGACGTCCATCTGTTAGCTTTATCTCCAACACTGTGTTTTCAATTTGCGCACTGCCTATGATCATACATTAGAAACAGCCATAAGAACAGTCTGTTGAACACGGAGCTCTTTAACCTTCGTGCATATGGATTTCACTCTTTAACATGCATTTAATTAGGTGATCCATGTAAGTATTATTACTCAATTTTGAATTTTAACAAGGACCAGTGTGTAGGGTTAAGTTTTACCTACAGCGGGTGAAGATTGAAATTAACGTCTGTATTTGACAATGGTGGTTCCTTTAATAATTCCTATATTCAGGTGATTATACATCAATGAAAACATACTTGTGACAACAAATCCTCCTGATTGTTACACACTGGACCTTTAAACACCAAAAATGAAAACTAAATTTGCTGTTGCACGTCAATTAGAGAGATTACTGGCATGTTGTGTCTGCTAGAATTAGCCAAATATTGAATTATAACTCATCCCAACTCCAAACAAAATTGAATTAAACTCGTCTACAACCCAAACCGTTCACACTGCAGCCTTCAGCATGTCAACAGTGTCACGTTATTAGTTGTGGCTTGTGTATTCGCTCTGTTATAACCTGCTAATTCTAACTGTTTATTTCTCATTCGAAGGATCATTCTGTTCTCACCCTCTCCACCGCGTTCAGAGCTCAACAACTTTCTGTGTAAAACACAAACAGCCGTGTGACTGTGACAGCAACAGAGTCACGAAACCGCCGGCCTGCATTCCACTCAAACAGGTTCCTGATCGTCTATATAGGCCCCATTACAGTCCGCTGTGGCCCAACACACTGCAAGATTAGAGGCTTTAGCAGCACAAACATTCCTCAGAGGTTACAGAAGAAAACAACCTGATTGGTTAATTAAAACACAGGTGGGTGGAGCCATAATGCTAGTTTCTATAGCTAGCGACATGCAAGCGACAAACTGTGTCACAGGTCGACAAAGAAGAAGCGTTGAGAGTTGTTTTTGTATATCTCGAGACAATAAGTACACAACATATTCCAAAAGAAACATGTACGTGCCATCAGCTTTTATCTGCTGACCATTTATACGCCATTCTTTCTGCGCGGAGAAGTTTATACGAATAAGGTTCTTGTGGATTTAACATCATTTTTAGCACCCATGTTCCCTATTTTAACTGATTTGCTTCTTTAAAAAGGAATCATTTTAGGAAATAAACTAGTTCTCAGACTCAGAACGATACCACTCCGCACAGTAAACATCTCACATATCAGCCAGTTAGCTTAGCTTAGCATAAAGACTGGAAACTGAGGGAAAGAGCTAGCCTGGCTGATGGCTGTAGCTCCATATTTACTGTACACACATCAGTGATATCAAATCTCTCATCAAGATGTCCGACTGTTCCTTTAAATGCCGGCTGCGACCGGGCCTTAAAAAAGGGCAGGAACCGACAGCGAGAGGACACTTCCAGCCACCCTCATCATCATTTCCAGTACCAATCTTGGGTTTCACCACAACATGCGAGCACATTTCTCCCTGCCAGATCTGGTCTGCCTGAGCCCTTCTGATCAGAGACTAAAGTCCAGTTGAAAAAGCAAACAGAGAAGAAAAGAGAAGGGAAGAGCTACCAAATGCAGAACTAGCTCTTCCAAGTTATCCAAAAACACAACGTTAACCTGCTGACCTCCCGGAGAATGTGACTGTCATAAATAATAGAGGTCGCTGCCCTTTGATTTCCCCCTTTCTTTATGTGCAAATCACAACCAACCAGCCAACCAGAGATATTCCTCCAAGAAATCTTAGTATAAACTCCCAAGAACTCCATTTCCGAGTCAGGAGATAATGTAAAACAGTGAGCGGTTCATCCCTCGGGCTACCCAGGGCTAAGTTCAGCCACTCACTAACTAACAGTCAACACACAAATAAGGGAGATAGTGTTAGTATTGTTGCTGTGTGTGTGTGTGTGTGTGTGTGTGTGTGTGTGTGTGTGTGTGTGTGTGTGTGTGTGAGAACCAGCCTGGCTTCCAGCTAAACATTAAGAAAGGGATTTACTGAGGAGCTTATTCAAAAGAGCACAAGCAGCCTTTGAACAATCGATTGCTTTAAGAAGACACTGCCGTTTCCTTGCAAACATGAATTGAACAAGCACGGGCGATGAGTGTGAGGACACGTCTTCATCACTCACACTGACACTGGAAGCCTGAGCCTGCAGTCTGCTGCAAGTTCAGGGTTTTTTTTTGAATACTTTTTCCCCCTAGAGATTCTGTCTCCATGCCCAGGTATGCATACAGTACACCTCAGATGCAAATGTCTCCAGCGTTTGACTCCAAACCTTCCCTCATAGTGACTGCAGGAAACTTAAACGTGACAATGAACAGCTCAAGCAGCCTTGTGAGTGCATGCCCGAGCGATCGGAGCGTCATCTTTAGCTATAACATCCAACAACCCGAGTCCAAACAGAGCGGCACTGCTGTAGCTGTAATGGTTTTATGGCTTCAGAGCTCAAGGTGCAGCGTTGGAGGCTGCTCTAATCCATTAACTGACACCATGGGCAATTACCTTCCCATCATACACAGCGGTGCTTGGGAGCAGATGGCCACCGGCTGCACGGCAGTTTTTTTTCAAGATTTCATACAGTTCCACACATGAGATTCTGGGTTAATGTGTTTTAATGACCTTTGGAGTCAAATATCTGACTAAGCACATCATTATCTGGCTGCTGTTGTAATGGTTGAAGCTCCTCTGATCAATACTGCCATCAAAAAACATCTGCTTTTCCACCACAGTACACTAAATGTATGTAATACTAGAGATCTCTAACTGACACTCCCTCAGAGCTCAGAGCTTTAAAATCCCCTTCTCTAACTTCCAATTCTCCTCCCTGGGATTGCTATAGATTTAATGAGGACAATCGATAGAAGATAATGGTTTTAGTACAAGTGTTGTAAAAGCTGGTGCGTGGAGTTAACACTGGAAGAAGTCAAGTCCAGTCTGGAATACATTATGGGAGCCGTGTCAACAGGATCAGCCCACTTGCTGAGGCTCCAGATGTTCTGTGCATTGATTAGTCCCAACACATTCCGTTGTCTCTCCCCATGCGCAGCCCGTCACGCCAGACTCCGTTTAAAAATCTAGACATTTAATATGACCATACCCATCAGCAAAAGCGCCTCCAAAAACAGGTTTAAGCTCCTGTCAGGAAGCTGTCAGTCAAACACTTTTTCTAAAAGTTATATCCCTGTAGGTACACACCCGCCCTCTAACTAACCCGCCTCACTAAACGCCAGTAATGTCCTCCACATCGTCGATTGCAGCTTGTTACATTAACGCCTTCCATTAAATCAATTACTAAAGTTTTTCTCAACATACCGCACCGCTTGGTGAACAACATGTGTGCCGAATATCTAATACAATGATTCTATCGCTAAAACATCGCAACTTATGTCACACAGTGCGTTTGCCATTTGGCAGGGATCGATAAACCATTAAATTTGTTGTTTTGTGAGCGGAGTTCGGTGTGACGTTCTCTGAACGAGGGAGAAGGGGAAACCGCGAGGGAGGTAAGAAATCACGAGTGCCTTACAAATCTTTAAAAATCCCCACGAAAGCTTTTCCTGCTGGAGGAATTCGGGAAAATGTTGTTGCAGGTTTTTTTTGTGAAACTTAGAATAAAACAGCTAAAAATTGATAAAAATATTTTTTTTTAAAAGTAACGCAAACGCTTCTTACCTCTGGGGGTTTCCGCTGATGTCTCTCTCTGTGTGGCCGTGTGTGACTCTCTCTGTATTCCTCAAAGATATCAAAAGTTAGAAAATTAAAACTCGTCCTGTGTCCTTCGAAAATAACCCAAAAAGTTCCCAAATTTACATCCTGGTGTGAAGGAAAACTGCTCTGGTGAGTGAACCGGGAGCGGTTGGAGCTGCAGTCGCTGCCCAACTTTACTAACAATATTCCCGCAGACGAAACAAGTAGCCAGGCTGCTTGTGCTTCGTCCTTCCCACGCCCAGGAAGCCGGTTAACTACATGCCCGACTCAGGTAATTCATGACTACACCAACACACACACGTAGGTTTTAATGGCAGGAGACTGTGTGTGTGTGTGTGTGTGTGTGTGTGTGTGTGTGTGTGTGTGTGCGTTGTTTCTGTATCCAGCGCGTAATGCGAGGCGCACTCATCCAGCCGGGGTCTGCGGACGGGAGCTCCGCTGTGAACGGCGCGATACGCAACAAAACTGGGGAGTATCAGGACGAGATGATTTTTCTTCCTCCTCCTCCTCCTCCTCCCTAATACTTAACCCCCAATGCCTGTAGGTTTATAAGAAATCCGCCAAGTTGGCGGGAGTTACCTTGCGTAACGCTGGGAAGTGTGGTGGCCTCTCTTTCAAAATAAAAGCTGCGTGTGTGCGCGGGATACTTAAAAGCAAGAAACGAACATAATAGGACGTGAGCTCCCCTGAAAACATGATTTCTAACATGTTTGTGGAGTCTGTTAAATACTGCCCATATGCTGTTTCTTTGCCATGCATTTGAGAAAGGGTCTGTAGGGGTACAGAGATTTACCAGAGTAACTCAGATGGTGGCAGATGTCTTTCTGTACACACAGTCTATACACAAACACTCTATACACTCTTACAATTTTTGTCTCCAAAGTCGTCCAAACACAGAACAAACAACCAGTCTTGAAATAAAAATATAAATAGACATTATCTGCACGCTTCATCCACATTTTCACATCATTTCCTTTTGCCTAATACTTAAACTGTGTAGTTCGACTTTTCTGCATTGATGTGACTGTCAGCATGCATGTAAGTATTAAAATGGTAGATTTTTAAATGGAGTTTGGTCTGTAGAGGTGCAGAGATATACAAGAATAACTCAGATGTAGCAGATGTCTTTCTGTATCTTTATCATCATCATAACGTTATTAGGATATTATTGATGTCTGAGGGTGATTCATCTCTAATTCACTAAAGATACCCACACACACACATACACCAACACTGGCTTGGTCCCATCTCTTAAACTAAAACAAATCAATGTATTTATTTCTAATGCCACTTTTAGATAATTCTATTCAATGCTTTACTAATGTGCCACAAAAATGTGTTTTTTATTTCCAAATCTTTATTTTAATCTAAAATGTAGCTGTAACAGATTTTTGTGTTGATTTCCATTTTTTAACATGTAATTTTTTTTAATTAATCTAAATTAATGTGTGTTTTGTGACACTAAATTGGGGTGGCAACATTGTTCATATTTTTGGCATTGTGTATGCCTATACTTTGGATATTTGTTTTATACATAGTTTATATTTGCACTGTTTCCTACTTTGTACTGAAACTACTGCTCAACAGTTTCCCTCTAGGATGAATTAAGTTATATCTTATCTAAGTTTGTCCTGATGGCTCCACAAGTGGAAAGGCCATGTTGTTATCCAAAATAAAAAGGGTTAATCCTCTGTACGGTGACCGTTACTGAACGCTTTGAGGTTTGTTCAGACTGAATGAAAGGACTTTTTTACCTGAATGTACAGAAAGAAGAGGAAAGAGAACGGGGTCTGAAGGAAAAATGGCGGTCCTGATCAATTTAGAGACCAATCAGTATCAATATGTTTCGGCTATAGCTGCAGCTAACATCTGTACAGATGTCACATTGGCTGTTTGGACCACAAACATCCTCCAGCAGTCAAATGTGTGCGAATGCTCAGCTTTAATCAGTAGGTTCAACCTCATGAAAAAGCTAAAAATCCCTTTGACTCCACGAGAAAAACACTCTTTGTGTGGCTGTGATCGTAACCACAGTATTAGTTCTTTTAAATATGACTCGTCTTTGATTGACACAATGTGGAAACAGAGCTGAAAAATATGGATCTGATGAGAAAACACATGAAATCAGAGATAACACAATCGATACACATTGTCTTTTCTCTCCCTCAGTCGGTTCTTATCTTCAAATTCCTCCGAACACAGAACAAACAACACTGTCTTTGTAATAAAATTGTTGTTTTTATAAATATATATATAAATTATCATTATCTGCATGCTTTGTTCACACTTTACATCATTTCCTGTCGGTAAAGAATACACAATCAGTGTGTTTAGACTTATTATTGGCCTTGCCAAAAGGGATTTTATTTTGAAAATGCGCATCAGGAAGACTTCCGTATGTTTTCTGACTTGATGCTGGCAGCTTCAACTCAGTCCCATGGGTTTAAATTGAAGGCCTTTAAAAAAAAAGCCAACTATTCCTTTAAAAACAACATGGGAATTAAAAAATATATATGTTATTTATATTTTTAATGAGTGATCAGTATTAAAACACCACCTTTAACCAAAAAACAACCCAAAAAATACATGCAAACAAACAAACTGTTGCCTTTTTCCAACAGATGTTGAGTGTGCTGCAGCTTAATCCACACTTTAGATTGAAACCTACTTTTAAATAGATTATAGGCAGTTTAATTTCCATCCTTAATAATCTATTTATACCCCCCAGACATATAAATTGGATTTATTTGTAATTTCCTATACATTTTCTTTCTCATTTCATTCTACATCTGAAAATCGAAGCAGTCTGAGTAAACCTTCAGAGAGGTCTGGGAGAGTGGTCGCGCTGTCAAGCCCAGTTAAGCGTGCAGTTGCCCCCGCTGCTAATTCGAGGGCTTGGTGGGGCACAATGGAGGCTTTGTTGTTGGAGAATTTGTCTGAGAAGTAATCCTTGACACTGGGCCATTCAGGGGCCTAACCTTTTGTTTCATAAGTCTCCTGAATGTTACAGTAGGCACCAGTGCAGTAGAACAAACTTAAAGCGCTGCACGTCGCCGGGTATGGCCGGAGTGAGTAATGTAGAATGGAGTGTAGATGCATGCGTCCGTGTTTCGGCGCATTTGGGTGGGGAAAGGTCAAAGATCATGAGCAGGGAACGAAGTTTAAGGCCGCGATAGATGTATTTTTTAAATATATATTTATATGTTTTTGACATTGTCCTTCGTTTACATGAATAGTTTGTATAGAAACACTCACTATTTTCCTCCTGTTTGTAGTAATGTTTGACTTTTTTTTTAAAACTACAATATCCTCAGAAAATTACTACTTATGACTGACTGTGAGCTGCTTTTAAAGATCTTCAGTATTGGTTACAGGGCTGTTTCCAGACTTTTGTGATTGGGATGGCACAATGGGGGGCACTGCTTTATGTACGGATGCCATTAAGTATGTGTCTCAGCTTTCCAGTCATTCACATTTTAGGAAAATTTAACACTGTTTATGGACCCCAGTATGCAGAAATATTCAAATACACTCGATAAAGATAACATATTCGTATCACATGCAAAAAAACTGCATTGGATTAGTATAAAGAGTCTGGAAACGCCCCTGATTGGCAGGAAAGGGAAGTAAGAAAGTCAGAAAGTAAAAACAAACTAACACATTGTTGTTTTTGGTCTTTTTATGGGATGTTTCGATCAAAATGATATAACCTATACCCTATAATATGGATCTGTTATAGCAAATTTAATCATTAGACCAATTAAACTTTATGTCTCTAGCAGACTTTCATACAGTTTGGTGCAGTTCAAAGTGTTTCACAGACGCAGACAAGACGATAATGAGTCAGAATGGGAAAAAAACGAACTAAGGTGGATTTACGATGATAAAGATTACAATAAAATACAATATATTTGATTTTACAGGGGTAACAATAGTGTTTATTGTAAATTATGTGTGTATATCGTGTGACTTAAGCATTATATGTTACTGTGTATGACACGAAATTCAGAAATTCAACACTTTTTAACTAGAAATATAATACTCTTATTAATGAATTACTCCTAATTTAAAGTAGAAGCAATCTATATTCATAGATTTGGTTTTCCATTAGTTTTGGATCAAAAACAGGTGCTGTTGTTTCTTCATTTACACACATCGGCCGTGGTGGAACTACAGCGGCACCTCGCTTTAAATGCCACTGCAGTGAGGAACTGTGGGACAGCATTATCTCCTTCCCTTCGGTAAAGGATGGCCCAGTGTATGCTACGCTAGTGGAGATAAGAAAGCAAGCACTGAGGCGCTTTCTTTTAGCAGCAGGCTCGCCTCGCCTGGAAAAGTTCCAGCAGCCTTCAGAGAATATACAGGAAGTCAGAGCAATATTTACATCCTGTTAGATCATCTTTAGGCTACCTGTAGTTTACAGACTATATTCAGATCCATAAATATACTTTATCAGCCACATAAGATCTGTTTATTAACAGATTAAACCTTCATTGGACATCAGTCAACAATTTTCTCATCATACCCTGAGTCTTAAAACTGCAGCCGCCTCGATCTCGTGAGGTTATCGTTGCCCACGTGTGCACAACGTCAGATCAAGTCGGCATCAAGACGGACAAAAATCTAACCGGCAGGCACTGTGAGGTTATCGCCGGCGACCTATTCTGCACAAGCATGGCGAGAGAATTCAAACAGCTCTTTCCACTGCTGCCGCTCAAACACTTCCGGGTCATTTCACGCGATTAGGAACCTTACCGAAGACAAAAAAAAAGACTATTTGAACGCAGCCCATGTCTCAGAACACACACACACACACACACACACACACTCAATCAGGGTGTGTCAGTCATGTTATCCTGACAGACTCATTAAGTGCCTAAATCACTTACTGACTGACTGGCTGATAAACTGTCTATCTGCTCATTTGACTGGTTAATTATCTGTCTGTGTGTGTGTGTGTGTGTGTGTGTGTGTGTGTGTGTGTGTGTGTGATCATATGAATGTGTGGCTGGTTTACAGGGTTCACTGGTCGACTAAGTGAGCTGTTAACCACACTGTTGGAGTGAGCATGCTGTGTGTGTGTGTGTGTGTGTGTGTGTGTGTGTGTGTGTGTGTGTGTGTGTGTGTGTGTGTGTGCGTGTTTGTGTATTTACACTCTTCTCAAACAAAGCACATGCAATTGCTGTCACACGTACACACACTCTTTGATGTGACACGCTGACGTCTGTCAGTACACATTACATACACCCGGGTCGGCACGTACAGACACACAAACACACACGCTGTTATTTCTTGTGGGCTTAAACAAAGCTTGTTTGCCGTTTCTGGCCATGTTCAGGCTCCCTAACCCGGTCAATATTTATCACTTCTGCAAAACACCGGATTACATTCAGTATATCGACATTTCCAAGATTTAGATAGTCAGTCTGGACTTCACAAAAGCTTGCTATGTTGTGGTTAAGGTGGTGCTGGATCAGGGTACTGGCACCTTTTTGGGTCGAATTCAGGAC